CCATATTTAAAATAAGCTCTGGCATGCCTAATTCTTTCTCAGTTTAAAAGCAAACTTACTTGCTGTTTCCGGTCTCTGTAGCCTCGTATAAATGACTGTATAATTATTGCATTTTTCAATCTTCGTCTTTCCTCCTGCAGAATGGAAGGAGGGAGGTACAATGGGTCATAGGGAAATGACGTTTAGCTAGCAAAGACTTAAGAAAAAAACATTACAGAATTTACATACCACAAAATTCACTTTTAAGTGTACCATTCACCAATTTTTAAAATATTCAAAATTCAAGTATCACCATGATCTAATTTTAGAATACTTTCATCACCCACTCCAAAACCCCCTGTACCCATTAGCACTCATTCCTCAACCCCTGCCCTGGCTCCCCCATCCCCAGCAACCACTAATCAAATCTCTGTCTGTGTGGGAATGCCTATTCTGGACATGTCTTATAATGGAATCATATAATATGTGGCCTTTTCTGTCTGACTTTTTTTACTTGGCACAATATTTTCAAGGTTCATCCATGTTGTATCACGTATCAATACTATACTACTTTTTATGGCCAATTAATATTTCACTGTATGGATGTCTCACATTTTGTTTATCCACTTACTACCTGATAGACATTTGGGCTGTTTCCACTTTGGGCTATTATGAATAATGCTGCTGTGGACATTCACATAAAAGTTTTGTGTGGACACAGGTTTTCATTTCTCTTGGGTGTATGCCTAGGAGTGAAATTAACATTTGAGGAATGGCCAGACTGTTTTCCAAAATGGCTACACCATTTCACAATCCCACCAGCATAGTAAGACTTATAATAACAATTTTAGCTTTAAATATAAAAAGAATACAGACAACCCAAACATCGATTTTAAAAGCCACTTTTCTTATCTCAAAGCAGAAAACTCCAGTTTTGATTAAGGCTGTCTTTAAAATTTTCAGTGACCCAGCAAAAATATTTATTCTTCACATCATCGTAACCAATGCAGCTCCTACTGTTTGAAAGCCTACTATGTGCCGGCCCTAAGAGAGACATTGCACAATCATCTTAGACAACTACTACTCCCCATTTTATGATGCAGAAGCTGAAATTTCCATGAAGATAAAGTGATGCTGGAAGACGTAAGAGAGTCAGAATTCAAAGCCAAGTGTGACACGAAAACCTGTACTCATCCTACCACATGACATTGTTTTATGTCTTCTATGAATGCCACCTGCCAGGCTTGAAATGCACATGCGCACACACACAATCCTAGGATGGCAGAACACCAATCAGGTCACCCAAGTGTACTTCCTGAGCTTCAAGTGGTTACAGCAAAGGAACCCCTGAGCTTAAACCTAGTTTGCCAATCTATTCATTACTACGATGATTCTAAGAGCCCTTCATTAAAAACCCATATATGGTCCCATGAGTTTTCAAAGCATTTATTTTTATTCATTCAGTTGTTCACTAAGGAGGAAATCTTGGTAGCATTCTAGCCTTCTGGCTGGGACAGGGACCTTTAGAGTCCCAAAACTGGAGTTTAAACATTATCTTTAATAACCCATAATTATGTTCATGAAATTAAAAGACAAGAGAACTGGGAAATAAATGAAACAATCAAAGAAGATTCTAGAACTGAAATAAAATCTGAAATTCAGCATTCAATGGATATATGTAACAATTAGACACTGGTAAAGAGATAATCTGTAAATTAGAAGTTAGGTCAGAAGAAAATATCCAAACCAAAGTAGAAATACTCAAAAGGATAAATATACAGAAGAGTATAGGAGACATATGTGACACAAGGCAAAGGTCAAATATGTACATAACTTGAGTCCAAGAAGAGGAGAGGAAGAATGGAGCAGAAACACTACTCAAGAGATGAAGGCTGAGAATTTTCCAGAAAAGATGAAAGACACCAACCAATAAATATTTCTTGTTTGAGCAGTCATTTTCAACTGACAGCAATTTTACCACCCAGGGGACATTTGTTAATTTCTGGAGACATTCTTGGTTATCTCAACTGGAGGGAGGGAGTGCTGTGGCATCTAGTGGGTAGAGTAGAGGCCATGGATGCTGCTAACCACCCTTCCATGTACAGGATAAGCCCCTACAACAAAGAATTATCTGGTTCAAAATGTCAACAGAGCTGAGGTTGAGAAACCCTGCCTAAAACCCTTTGTATTTGCTGCTTCCTTCACCAAGAATGCTCTTCCTCCAGCTTTCCATAAGGCAGCTTCTTTTTCATCCTTCAGTTATCAGCTCAACTCTAACCAGCTCAGAGAGTCCTTCCCTGAACACCATTCCCCATCACTATCACCCTATTCCACTGCCTTTATGGCACTTATCACCGGCTCACATCTGTGCTCTAGAACCCAGCAAGAACATTATCTGTCTTATTCACTATCTATATACCCAGCAAGCAGCACAGTACCTGGAATATATCAAGCTCTCAATTAATATTTGTTAAAGGAACAAATGATTTATTAGAAAACAAAACAAAACAAAAATCTGGAAAAGTAGGCCATAAAATACCATAATTGCTGATTAATCAACAAAATAAAGCCATTTTGAGAAATTGTCACCAGAGAGATGAAATGTAAAATAAAGAATATATTAAACAAACAAAAATAAATAAATAAAATAAAGAATAAAACAACTGTCACTAGCTCCATTCGTTTATTTATCTTCTTCACAAATAGTTAAGATATTTGCCTAAACAGTGAGTTTTCTTCTTTTGCTTGGCAAAACATGAACATGATATACTAAGTCTGTCTAGATCTTCTGGAAACCGTTATCATAAGCAAGCAAGTGAACTTTGTAAAAGCCTGTCCCCCCTCCCCCCCTATTCTGGAAACTGCCCTTTTAGTCCATCTTTTTCCACACTGGTTCCAGAATAAATTACTTATTATAAAATCCAAAAAATCCAGAAATGCTTCTGAAGTTTAATATACATAAAAATATATATGTTATGTCACAAAAAACATACATATATCTATACACCTGTATGACAGTAAAGCCAAGACTTATTTAAATGCTATGGAAAAATGCTTATTTAAAGAGACTATTACAAAACTGTTTTTACCTCTCTCTTTCTTCTTTCTTCCTGAGTACGATGTAAAAGAGAAGCCTTTTCTTCCTAAACACAAAAAGAGAAAAGATAAAGAAGGCTAATTTCAAATTCTAAAATACTCTCAAACAAAAATTATACAATGTCTTGACCAAAAAAGGATTCTAAAGATCATACAAACATTCTGACTTAATGAGAAATCTGAGGCACAAGAGGTTAAAGAGCCCCCCGCCAGATCACAGACCTAATTAAAGTTAGTATTTCAGTAGTTTTCTAAGAATAAAATCTGATTTCTTTACACACACAAGAGAGTTCAAGTAAAACTGGGAATATCTGAATAATATCAGTGCATTATATCAATGTCAATATCCTGGTTGTGATTATCATACTACAGTTTTGCAAAATATAACCCCCCCAGGGGAAATCAGGCAATGTGAACAAGGGATCTTTCTGTATTATTTCTAACAGCTGCACATAAGCCTATAATTACCTCAATAAAATTTTGATTTTTTATGAATTCATTTTGATGAATTTTTGATGAAACAAAATTCAGTATTGTTACTGAATTTCAAAAAATTCTCTTTTCATCATAAAACTAAATTTTGAACAAAATTACTGGTATGTAGAAGGAACCAAAGTAATAAATGGGAAACTTAAACATTTCAAATGAAATAAGAATACTTAAAGATAACCCTCCTTCCCCCAGAACTGTTCAAGTCTATAGTGTATGGGCATTTTATTTTTATAAATGTAATCCAAAAGAAAATTAACAGTCCAAGACATTATATATGAATCATTATAAAAATGAATACACAGATCTCTTAACAAAAACAAACACAACATCAAAAGAGTGTCAGAAGGCAAGTAATTAAGCCAATTTAAAATTATACATTGGTATGTGAATAAACAGTGTGCAGAATGAAAAGTTTCTCACTGACAAAATTTTTTTTTTTTTTTTAAAGATTTTATTTATTTATTTGAGACAGAGAGAATGAGAGACAGAGAGCATGAGAGGGAGGAGGGTCAGAGGGAGAAGCAGACTCCCTGCCAAGCAAGGAACCCGATGCGGGACTCGATCCTGGGACTCCAGGATCATGACCTGAGCCGAAGGCAGTCGCCCAACCAACTGAGCCACCCAGGCACCCTCTCACTGACAAAATTTAAAGCCAAAGAAATAAATCCGGGGCACCTGGCTGGCTCAGTCAATGGAGCATGCAACTCTTAATCTCGGGGTCATGAGTTTGAGCCCCACATTGGGCACAGAGCTTACTTAAAAAAAAGAAAAGAAAAGAAAGGAAAAGAAATCCTCCAAATATTTCCCACTACAAATAATCTCATTTCTTGAATTTCAAATAAAAAGCCTTTATCACATGACCAAGGTCAGAAAAATATTTTCTTTTAAATTTTAATTAAAAGGAGAAGGGGGAATGGAAAATTTAAAGTAAAAAGTGCAAAGGTATGATGGTCAGAATTCGGGAAAGCTTCTAGATAAAAATTTCTAGCCAGTATCCTTATTTATGAATAGAACTGGTATGTTTGTGTCTATACTTTCCTTTCCTTCTATCTCCATTTGATCAGATTTAATATATGTCCATTATTTGGTTAGAGCTAAAAAGCTAAGATTACTTAAAATAATATACACTGTTACAACTATGAAAAAATACACTTAAGTTTGAAATTAGGGTGGGGGGATGGGGTAACTGGGGGATGGGCATTAAGGAGGCCACGTGATGTGATGAGCACTGGTTTGTTATATGCAAGTGATAAGTTATTGAACACTACACCTAAAACTAATGATGTACTGTCTATGTTGGCTAAGTGAATAAAAAAAATTTCTCTGAAATTCAACAAACCAACATTTTACCTTAAAAACATGGTACATGCTGGCAAAACAGCCATTACACTTACTTCCACACACAGATAAGCTCCTAGTCCTCGCTAATCTAAAAGCCGCACAGGCTCAAGTACCTCATTTTCCCTGACCGCACTGTTGCTTTCATCTGCTTCAACATCTGGCACGTGTAGGTATTCAACACATACTTACGAAATGACTGAACGAACATTTCCTTTAAGTCAAACACGGCAGTCTAAAGGATGGCATAACCGTAACAGTTGAAAAGCACTTTGGATACCTGCAACACAGTACTTAGGTTGCAATATTTTAAAAATCAAAATAGGTACTCAGGATCAAAAAGCACACTTAGAGTCTAACTGAATACTGGAATTTCTTAGAAATTCTATTTTAAGTTTGAAGCTCATGGTATGGGAGGAGCCACGAAAGCACAAGGGGCAATGCTGGATGTGCTGAGGGTGAATATTCTTAACTTTTGATTACTTGTAAATCCAAATCCCTGGACACAGGACATCATACAAATGTGAAGGTCAATATGCACCTGTGCTCAAGGGCTGTAACGTTTCCTACTTAAAAGACAAATTCATTTCAAAAAAATAAAGTATAGCAAGCCAATCCAAAATAATGGATACACGCACACACACACCCGATATGTAATTTCAACAATAAAATCGTATTTTTGAAAATGCTAATAAGGCCTTTCAAAGCGTACTCATGCCCCTTAAATACTCTGCAGACAAAAGAAAATGGTCTACAGGGAGAGGTGACCAATCCCCTACGTCCAGTCGGACACACTGCAAAGCCGACTGAACGGGAGCACCATCTACCGCCAACATGGACTCGTCTGCACCCGTCTACTGTGCCCTAGCAGAGGAAGACAGCAGAGGAGGCCACGTGTGCCACACACAGAAAACTAACAGGGACTGAAGGCTTCTGTCCACCCACTAAGCAACATTCTAAGCCCTTGGCTTTGGTTAATTCACGTATTCCTCAAAACTAGCCTATGAGGGAAGTACTATTATTTTTCCTGTTTACAGATGAGGAAAGTGAGGTTTGAAAGTGGTAGATACAGGATCTGAACTCAGATGGCCTAGAGCTTAAAACCCACTAAGCAGTATGCTATTTACTTTGAAAAAGAACATTATTATTTTACATTTTGGGAGATTTAAACAATTCTTTGTCTTCATTATACATGAGTAATCTGAAAGATATATCAGAAAGGAAGGGAGAGGGAGGCCACAGAAAAAAAAGTTTTGATCTTCAAAATTTGACAAGAAAACATGGGGAGCAGGTGGTGTTGAGAACCACGGGACACAGAATGTCTAGAAAAGGCAAACTAAGCAATCAAAAAGATCAGGACAAAAAGGCTACCATGAAAAGTCAGCCCAGCACAGAGAGAAAAGTGTGACAAGAGTGCATAATCGATGTCAATACATGATGTAAATTATCAATATGCAGCCCCTAAACATGTAACCAAATTCCAGATCAGAACCAGAGCCTCTTGTATGTTCCCCATCTTGAAGAATGTATCCATTCAAAAAGCATTCAAATGAGGCACAGGGGGTGCATTTATCCATTCAACAAATATTTAGTGAATCACGTATCATGCCAGGCACTAGAGATTTTAAAAGTAAGTGAGGCATTTGCTCCCAAGGAGTTCATAGTCTGGTGGGAGAGAAAAGAAGCTTGTTTACTGAGTACACACCTGGTACCAGAGTTCTGGACACCAGCGGGAAAGCCTGACCGGGACAGACCCAGCCTTTGCCCCCCGTGCAGAGGCATGCACCGGGCATAAGCGTGGGGACAGGAGACCTATTCTGCCTCCGCGACAAGAGAACGCTCAGAAGAAAAGGTAAATTTGAAAGGCAACTAGGAAGGACATGTTCAGCAGGATGACAAGATGGGAAAGCTTCCCAGCAGAGGGGCAGAACACAACGTAGCAGGACCGGGGAGGAACCAGACTCGGCAGCCGTCCGTGGAAGAGTCACGTGGGAACCTGAGAGCTCTACTGCTGGCTGTGGAGCCTGTCTCACAGCAGGATGGATGGGAAGGAGAGGACAATCACTTACAATTCAGTGCCACTGAGAGGTCTGAGGGACTAACAAATGTAAGAATCATCTCTTCTCAATGCTCAGTTATTTAAATTAACCCAATTTATGCAAAACCTATTACATTGTCCTTATTGTCTATTCCATGTTAGCCTCTCTGAGGACCTAATTTGAGAACCACCAATGTGCTCTAAGGGATCAAGTTCAAACACTGCCTTATCACAGGAACATTATGGTCAGAACATTTCCTCCTCTTTCTCCCGACAACTTCTCTTGCACCATCCCCTGATGCTGCCTCAAGTGCATCTCTCCCTCCAACTGTCCTTCAAGCTTCAAATGCCCTGCTTCCGTCTGCCCAATCTGGCTTTCCTTCCCTCTTGACCCCAAAACACACGCGTAGCAAGCACCGCTCATCTTAGGTGAGACTCCACTTAAATGTCCTCTCTCCCATGAGGGAGAAGCTCTCCCTAGAAGACCACAATCTCTTACTCCTCCACATGATAAACTGGTGAGTTCACCAATGTAACGAGATTGCCTTGGCACATAAGACGTTCGTGGAAGTGTACTTAGCACATAGGGCTTACAACTCACCGCGCAGAAAATGACTGTGTCATGTGCACTAGTCAAAATCATGGAGGCTACATAGGTCTCCTCTACAAAGACGCTGCCTCCAAAATGTTGCAGGTCACTCTCCAGCACGCCAGCCAGAGTGCTCGTGTGGGTAGGATTATTCTGCAGAAGAGTGCATTTTAGCCTCAGGGCAGAAAATAAGAAAATGAACCTTGAACTGTATCAGCTAAAGCAGCAAGTAATGAATGATCAGAGTAAGAACAGAGAGCGGGTGAGGCCCCTAAGCAGGGAAGAGCAGGCTCTGACGCATGTGCCGTCCGAGCGGAAGCAGCCTTGCAGGGCGCACGCCCGACAGGAAGAGACACCCAGGCTGCTCCCCTGCAAACCAAGCTCAAACCACACAAGCATGGTAATACTAAATATTTAGCAGGGTTTGGATTTCTGTGCCCAACAAAGGCTCTAGGATTTTATCACTTACAGACATAATGGAGTGTCTATTTAAAGAGAAAAACATTTTTTATCTTAGTGCACCTGGAGAGAGGAAAGAGTAAAGGTAACCTTAATTGTATTTGTTTCTCCTTCAATAAATTATAAATTCC